CTCCTACAAGAGTGCAATGCAGGCGAAGCCCCCGTTTGTAGAATGAGTTGTCGTCCATGCTTTCAGGTGGTAGAAGCGCGAAGAGGTCGGACCAGAAAGTGCAAGGACATGGCCAGCGCTAGTGGTCCTTGGAAAAAGAGCCGCCCTTACTCTGTAAGCGTTTTCTTGCTTGGTAAGAATTTCTCCGTCTTGGCATAAGACCTCAGGGAGTTTCAAGCGCGAGCCCCGATTTGGAAAAGGAGCCGTCATATAGCTGTCGCACAATGTATGTTTGAATGCGTATCGGGATCGAGGAAGTCTCAAGCGCAAGCTCTATTTTGAAACGGCACCGCCCTCCATCCGAGTAGTTGGTAGAGGCCTTCAAATCGATTTGGCGCGGCACTAAGGCTGTAGCCAAAATTTGAAAACGACCCCCTCCATGCGTGCAACTGCGGGAAGCTTTGAAGACGAGTGTGCGCGGCGCTCAGGCGAAAACCACTTGAAATGGTGCATACGTGTAAGGTTTGGAGACGTTTATGACGAATTTACGCCGCGCCAAGGCGAGAGCCACATGTTGAAGAAGACCCCCCCCCTGGACAGACGAGACGCGGCCAGCCTGGGTGGGATCTGGATACGCATGTGGCCGCATGTCCTTCCGCCGCTCGGCCCTCGTGCGGCTGGGCCAGGTGGCCCACCGCATGCGCATCCAGCGTATGGCCTCTGGACGATCCACAAGTGACTTCTGCCGTGTGTGTTTCCAGATGCTTGGTCTGTAGACGGCTGGCAGCCCCCCCCTCCCCCCGGTGACTTGGGCTCAGCATGTCGCCCTCGACCTACGGAACTGGTGCTCGCCGCGTGCGCTTCGCTCCTTATCACCCTTGGGTGTGTAGTCGGTGCCATTCCCCACTTTCATGGGCCCTTGGAGTGTCCTTGCTTGTCTGCCGCCCTGCTGGCACGCCCACGCTGACGCTGCTGCGGCTGCTGCTGCATCTCCTTAAGTGTGTCTGCTCCTCCTCCTTTATGCCCCTAGTGGTTCTCCCCCTAACCCTTCTCTTCTCACTCCCCGCTCCTCCCTTTTTTCTGGTCCTCTTCCTCCTGCTGCTACTGTTCGTCCTTCGTTCTCCCTGCTCTCTCCTTCCCCTCCCATCCCTCCTGACTCATCATGCTTCTGTTCCAGCTCCTGTTCCGCCTCCTCGCCACCACCCACATCCTTGCTTCTGGCTAGCTAGTTCTGACATCCCACATCGCGCCTCTTGTCATCCTCCCACTCTCCCTCGGCTGCCGCACATGCTCTCTCGCCTCCTCCTCCTCATGCTCCTCCTCCTCCTCCTCCTCCTCCTCCTCCTCATCATCATCATCATCATCATCATCATCCTCGTCCTCTTCCTCCTCCTCTTCTTTCAACCAGACGCCCGAGCCTACTCCGACCGCAGGGGAGAGACGCCCGACGCGGGGACGCAGAGGGCCCCCTGTCGCAGCCGACTGCAGCCACTCGCCCTCGGGCAGGTGACACGCGGCCGGCCATGCATCCAAGGCGCGGGCCAGAGGCACCCGCCAGTCACATCAGCACACGGCTGTTGCGCGCGAGGAGCCGGGTCAGAGGCAGGGCCGCTCGCCTTCGTCCCTCCGAGCCTTGGCACGAGTGGCCAGGCCAGCTGGACTGACGGGCGCACCGCACCGTAAGGGCGGCCCGTGGGAGGAGCAGGAGGGGGTTGCAGCCTGTATATGTATATATATATATATATACATATACATATTGGATAAATATATACGTATATACATATACATGAATATTCCTCTTCCTATATTTTTACAAGCCCGGGCGGGGGGAAAACCCGTTACCCCCCCTCCCCCAAAACCGGACTCCCGAATCTGAGGCTTTGGGACCCTCCAGACGGGCCTCGAAGCGGCCCCCCGGGCCTCGCAGGGCGTTTTGCCAAGCCTTCCCAGCACACCTAGGGTGATCAGGGGGGTCATCGGAGACGCCCCAGAGACCCCCACGACAGCACAAAAGCGCTCCAAGAGTGACCGACGTGAACTCAAGATGGCCCAAGAGGCCTCCAGGACGGCCCCAAAGAGGCCTCCAAGAGCACTCCCAAGGCCCCAAGAGGCAAAAATCAGTGATTCCCTACCTAGGCTCTGCCTAGAAGGGTTCTTACTCTCTAGCTAAAGGGGCCGGGCAATGGAAACCGCCCCGGGCGGTTCCCCCAGTCCCCGCCCCGCGGTTCCCCCAGTTGCGCCCCCTGGGTTCACCCAGCTTAGCTTAGCTTCAGCTTAGCTTTAGCTTAGCTTTAGCTTAGCTTTAGCTTAGTTGTAGCTTAGCTTTAGCTTAGCTTTAGCTTAGCTTCAGCTTAGCTTTAACTTAGCTTTAGCTTAGCTTCAGCTTAGCTTCAGCTTAGCTCTAGCTTAGCTCTAGCTTAGCTTCAGCTTAGTTTCGGCTTAGCTGCAGCTTAGCTCTAGCTTAGCTTTAGCTTAGCTCTAGCTTAGCTTCAGCTTAGCTTTAGCTTAGCTTTAGCTTAGCTCTAGCTTAGCGTTAGCTTAGCTTCAGCTTAGCTCTAGCTTAGCTTTAGCTTAGCTTGAGCTTAGCTTGAGCTTAGCTTGAGCTTAGCTTGAGCTTAGCTTGAGCTTAGCTTCAGCTTAGCTTCAGCTTAGCTTCAGCTCATCTTTAGCTTAGCTCTAGCTTAGGCTTCAGCTCAGCTTTAGCTTAGCTCTAGCTTAGCTTCAGCTTAGCTTTAGCTTAGCTTCAGCTTAGCTTCAGCTTAGCTTTAGCTTAGCTTCAGGTTAGCACTAGCTTAGCTTTAGCTTAGCTCTAGCTTAGCGTTAGCTTAGTTTTAGCTTAGCTTTAGCTTAGCTTTAGCTTAGCTTTAGCTTAGTTTTAGCTTGGCTTTAACTTTGATTTAGCTTAGCTTTAGCTTAGCTTTAGCTTAGCTTTAGCTTAACTTTATCTTAGCTTTAGCTTAGCTTTTCTGTTACTACTAATGCTGCTTTCCTAGGGGCTCCAACTCCTAGGTAGGGTCACACTGGGATAATGTTATATAGGTTTTTGGTGAAGTTTGGGGTTCTCCTCTGTTCGGCTTCCCGACGCTCCAAGACGGCGGTCTTCTGGGCGTCCGAAGCCGCCTGGGAGGCTCCCAAATCGCCCCACAACCATCCGAAAGGGCTTCCAGGCAGTCCAAGAGAGCCCCAAAACGGCACAACACGGGTCCAAGATGGCCTTCAGAGAGTCCCATGGCGGCCCAAGATGGCCCCACGACACCCTCCGAAGCATTCCAAATCGTGACCTGGTCGTTCAGGGAGACCGCGGTTGGAGGCAGGGTGGCCCGAGGAAGCCCCCAGAGGCCCCCAGAATACGCCCAGGAGGCCTCCAGAAGGCCTTAAGAACGTTTGAAACAATTTTTGTGAGGCCCCCAGAGGCTCTCCAAGGAGGAGCCTCCGCAAAAAAGAGCTGAGGAGGCTGGGGAGAATGAGCAGGGTATGGCGAACATATGGAAAAGAAGCATGGAGGAAGGATAACTAAGAATATCATTATGGCGGCGATGCCGGAAAAGGCAACAAGGAGTCATCGCTAAATTGTCGGCTTGATGTTCCTGGTATTCCGCCTGCATACCCAAATCTCAAAGACCAAGGTTCATGGCGCGAAGCGCCGCTGCAGTCTTGCGTGTGTATATATATATATATATATATATATGTATCGTGCCCTTCTCGCCGCAAGTAGGGCACGCGGTCCGCGCGGCCAGCCAGACGGTCAGCAGGTCGAACAGATCTACCAATCGGTCGTTGAAAGTAGGTATTTTTGGATTGCCAGGTTCCAATATACTTCCGGCGCTTACTTCACAATGATCGAGTGGCTTCACCTTTTCCGCCCTCTTCAGGGGGCGGGCGGACACCCAATCTACTTTCAACGCCATCCTACTTCATGCTTCTACAGCGGCGGCATTGGACAAGGAACGCCTTCCTGGGGCCCAGACTCTGGCGCATTCCTCATTGCTTCAAGGCGAGGTGGGTGGTCCATGTTTGGCCGCCCTTGACCCCGCCCAGGTCGGCCCCACGTCGTGCGCTTTTTTGTGTGCGTGCCCCTGGCTGATCTCCATGCGGACGCGAGGCGAGGCACGTTTCCGTCGTGCCACTCACGCCCCCCAAATCGCAGGGGCGCCCCCGCCTCACCACGCGGGCGGGAGCTTCGCCCTCGGCCTGGGCCGCCGCTCGGGTCTGTGGCAACGCTCAGACGTCAGCTGCTGAAGGGGGACAACAAGTCGTCCCTCCGAGCCTCTTTGTGGGCCTGGGAGGCGGCGGGGCCGTTTTCCGCCGTCCAGTTGTTGGAACGGTTTCGTCGCAGTTGTTTCTGTTGCAGGTCTCGCCGCCGCTTGTGTTCCAGTTTCCAGGTCCGGCGCAGTGTTGATTTGCTTCGTTGAGATCTTTCCGGCTTCCAAAATCAAGAGCCAGGCTTTAGGAAACGGCGGAAAGCGGCGTTGTTTTTGTTCCCATGGCCGACTGAAACACGAACCGTTCTAAGCCACAGGGGGTGCCCACACAACTCCTTCGCACACGCTCTACGGCTTTGCCTCTGTGCTCCGCCTTCTTCCTACCTTCGCCCCTCCTCCCCCTCTGTGTTCGCCTCATCATCGCTGGACCTCTGGGAGGCTCGTCTATGGAAGGTCGGCTTGTGCCATGTTTCCGGGTTGCCAGTGGTGGTTGATTAAGTGTGTGCATGGTTCGCATGGGCTCGACGTACAGTGGGGGCCTATGCCAAGAAACACCCTGCTTGCCTCCAGGGTGCCCTTGATTTCTTGGGTTTCGATGGTTTTGCGATGGGAAGCGTGACGTCCCCACACCAAAAATCAAGGGACGTCCTGGGGTCTCAGGGTTGGGTTCCTTGTGGAAGGTTTCTTATGGACTGGCCTCCACTGTATACTCCACGTCGTTTTGTCGGCCAAGGGCCTAGAGAGTTCGGCGAGGGACTTACGTGCACAGAGGCTCCGAGCCCATCTCCCAGTGATCTGATGGGAAAACGACTTCCCGAGTCGCTGAACGGCGAGAAGGTCAGCAGCCAGCTCTGGGCCGCCGTCGGCATGGCCGTGATGGGCACCGCGCTGCTGATTGGGGTCATCGGAGGCCACCCCCTCGGCCCTGCGTGCTCGCGCGCGTGGTCCCAGCGTGGCTCTGACCGCGGTGGGTGGGTCCATCATCATCATCATCATCATCATCATCATCATCATCATCATCATCATCATCATCATCATCATCATCATCATCATCATCATCCTACTCCTCCTCCTCGCCATTGTCATCATCATCATCATCATCATCATCATCATCATCATCATCATCATCATCATCAAAACCATCATCACCACTATCATCATCATCATCACCATCATCATCATCATCATCATCATCATCACCATCACCATCACCATCATCATCATCATCATCATCATCATCATCATCATCATTATTCTTGTTAGCATCAGTATCATTAGCATCACCGACATCAGCATGATCAGTATCATCACCATCGTCAACTTCATCATCATCGTCATCATCATCATCAGCAGCAGCACCATCGTCATCTCCATCATCAGCATCCTCATCATCATCCTCATCACCATGTTCCTCCTCCTCATCATCAGCACCATCATCATGATCATCACCATCATCATCATCATCATCACCACCACCATCATCATCATCATCACCATCATCATCATCATCATCATCATCATCATCATCATCATCATCATCAGCATCATCATCATCATCATCATCATCATCATCATCATCATCATCGTTGGTAATCCGAGGCGGCCATCGGAAGATTATCCTGGCGAAGGACCCCACCATACGCAAATGTGAGAGTCGCAGGGCGGAATTCCCAATGGGGCCACGAACCGTGTGAGGGGTGCGCCACAATGGGGCGGGGCCGCCATGCGAACCCTGCCACTGAGGCCTTCGGTGGAGCTCCCTATGGGGCCACGAACCGTGTGAGGGGTGCGCCAAAATGTGGCGGGGCCGCCCTGCGAACCCTGCCACTGGGGCCTTCGGTGGAGCTCCCTATGGGGCCACGAACCGGGTGAGGGATGCGCCGCAATGGGGCTGGGCCGCCAGGCGAACCCTGCCACTGGGGTTTTCGGTGGTGCTCCCTGCGGGGCCACGAAGCGTGTGAGGGATGCGCCACAATGGAGCGGGCAGCCAGCGAACCCTGCCACTGGGGCCTTCGGTGGAGCTCCCTATGGGGCCACGAACCGTGTGAAGGGTGCGCCAAAATAGGACGGGGCCGCCATGCTGCTACTGGAGCCTTCGGTGGAGCTCCCTGCGGGGCCACGAACCGTGTGAGGGTGCGCCAAAATAGAGCGGGGCCGCCATGCGAACCCTGCCACTGGGGCCTTCGGTGGAGCTCCCTATGAGGCCACGAACCGTGTGAGGGGTGCGCCAAAATAGAGCGGGGCCGCCATGCGAATCCTGCCACTGGGGCCTTTGGTGGAGCTCCCTATGGGGCCACGAACCGTGTGAGGGGTGCGCCGGAATGGAGCGGGGCCGCCCTGCGAACCCTGCCACTGGGGCCTTTGGTGGAGCTCCATATGGGGCCACGAACGGTGTGAGTGGTGCGCCATAATGGGGCGGGGCCGCCATGCGAACCCTTCCACTGAGGCCTTCGTTGGAGCTCCTGATGGGGCCACGAAATGTGTGAGGGGTGTGCTAAAATAGGACGGGGCCGCCATGCGAACCCTGCCGTCGGGGCCTTCAATAATGCTCCCTATGGGGCCACGAACCGTGTGAGGGGTGCGCCGGAATGGAGCGGGGCCGCCATGCGAACCCTGCCACTGGGGCCTTCGGTGGAGCTCCTTATGGGGCCACGAAGCGCTGTACTGGGTGGGTGAAACGCAGGGGGGATGGGGAGGAGGAGGAGGAGGCGAGACTGAGGGAGGGACGCGGGGCGCTGTCTCTTCAAAACCAGGACCTAACACCACAGGATGCTTGGGAACGATACAAAAACGCGGGTGTGGTGACACTCGGGAGCTCGAACCCCGAGGACGTCTCGAGCGGGAGCCTCCTCCGTCCGTGAGTGTGCTGCGAGAGGGCGTCTCGAGCCGGAGCCCCCCCTCTCTGTGGGGCCCGCAGGTCGCGCGTGTGATCCGAGGCGGCCGGCGGAGAGCGATGCAGAGACATCGGTTTGGTGACGCCTGGGAGCCTGAGCCCCGAGGAGGTCTCGAGCGGGAGCCCCGTTCCTGACCGAACCGAGAGGGCGTCTCGGGCCCTCACCCTCGGGGGCCAGATGCGAACCCTACCCCTACCCCCCACGATTTCTGAGAGGGAGGGTAGGGTTCACTTCGCTCGGGAGCTCCCGAGCGAAGTGAACCCCACCCTCCCCCTCAGAAATCGTGGGGGGTAGGGGTAGGGTTCGCATCTGGCTCCCTACACCCGTTTGTGGATACACCGGGAGGAAATTTCTGGCAGGAGCCCCTCCGCATAGGGGTCTTCACCTCGTGTTGGCGATCCGAGGCGGCCATCGGGACACCATGTGAAAAAACATTGTTCGGTGACACCTGGAGGCCTGAATCCCAGGGAACTCTCGAACGGGAGCCTCGTTCCTGAGGAAACTGGTCGGCCGTCTTGAGCGGCGCCCTCGTCTTTGAGTGAATCGCGGGGACGTCTCAAGCGGGAGCCTCGTCCCTGTGGGTCCCCACCTGGCGTTGGCCACTCGAGGCGAGCCTGGGGGTGCCGGGAGCCCGAATCCCGAGGACGTTTCGAGCGGGCGCCTCGTTCCGGAGCAAGTCGGGAGGATGCCTTGGGCGCTCGCCTGTAGGTGGATCGCGAGGGGTCCTCGAGCGGCAGCCCCTGACTGCGGGCCCTCCGCCTCTTGTCATGACTCCGAGGTTGTCATCGGGGTCCCCTGCAGAAGCACAGGTCTAGTGGCACCCGGAAGTCTGAATCCCGAGAACGGCTCGAGCGGGAGCTCCGTTCCCGTGTCGAGCGTCCTTTGCAATCAGAGGCGGCCATCTTCAGTCAATCGGCCATCCTCAATCAGCCAGCAGATTCAGGACAGGAAGAGATCCTCCGTAGTCATAAGGACGACGGCTTAGATCATTTCCAGAATCGTTGGGAAGATTATCATGCGGTGTCCTACCGTTTGAGAATGTTGGTCCCAGCCATCCTGTGGAGTTGGGTCCTCGTTTTGAAGATACTGCGTCCCGCGTCTCCTCTCCTCTCCTTCCTCCCCCACCCCCTCCTCCCATCCCTGTCTCTGCCCTCCGCATGCCTTTGTCTCGGCACGCACCCCGCACACGTTTCGTGGCCTCATACGGAGCCCCACCGCAGGCCCAAATGCAAGCGTTCGCATGCGCCCACTGCACCCATTGTGGCACACTCCTCACACGTTTCGTGGCCCCACAGGGAGCGCCACCGATGGCAGTGCCTGCGCTCGCATGTGCCCGCCGCACCAATCTTGGCACGCCTTTCACACGCTTCATGGCTCCATTGGGAGCTCCACCGACGGCCCCCAGTGGCTGCGTTCGCATGCGCCCACCGCACCCATTTTGGCACACCTCTCACACGCATCGTGGCTGCATGGGGAGCTCCGCCGACGGCCCCAGTGGCTGAGTTCGCATGCGCCCACCGCACCCATTTTGGCACCCCTGACACGCATCGTGGCTCCATAGGGAGCTCCACCGACTGCCCCAATGGCTGCGTTCGCATGCGCCCGCCGTGACAAATTTGGCACCCCCCTCACGCGCTTCGTTGCCCCATCGGGAGCTCCACCGATGGCCCCAGAGGCTGCGCTTGCATGTGCCCACCGCACCCATTTTGGCACACGCCTCACGCCTTTCGTGGCCCCATAGGGAGCTCCACCGACGGTTTCACTTGCTTTGTTCGCACGCGCCCACCGCACCCGTTTTTGGCGCACGCCTCACACGTGTCGTGGCCCCATACAGGGGGCCCCACCGTCGACCCCAGCGGCTGCGTTCGCGTGCGCACGCCGCGCTCATTGTTGCACACCTCTTGGTACGTTTCGTGGCCTCACAGCAAGGGAACCCCACCGACGTCCCCAGTGGCTGCGTTCGCACGCGCCCACCGCACCCATTTTGGCACACCCCTCACACGTTTCGTGGCCCCATCGGGAGCTCCACCGGCGGCCTCAGTGGCTGCGTTCGCACGCGCCCACCGCACCCATTTTGGCACACCCCTCACACGTTTCGTGGCCCCATCGGGAGCTCCACCGGCGGCCCCAGTGGCGGCGTTCGCATGCGCCCACCGCACCCGTTCTTGGCACACGCCTTGGCGTTTCGTGGCCCCACAGGGAGCCCTTCCGAATGCCGTGCGCACAATGACGGTATTCACAACTGCATATGAATGGGTCCTTCGCTGGGCTAGTTATTCTGGGCAGTGTTTGACTATGGGACGCGTAGGTGTGAGCGCCTTGCACTATCTCGAAGGAAGGACAGACGATTAATAATCCATTCGTACCCGAGTGATCCGATTCGAAATCTAGACCAGATGGCTATATCCGCTTCGATTCCGGTCCGCCGACGATCCGATGCGGCCCGATGCGTGCGTGGCGCTACAGTGCATCCTGGCACAGTCGATCCGGTTCGACCTCAACTCACTGGGTAGTCGAAGGTCAGCCGGTCAGGTTGGATCGAGGCGCCGGGGCCAATCCGGCATCAGTCTCCTGTGAACTCCAATCCGGCGCCAGTCCGGCGCAGCCCAGTCTGATGCTGACCTTCTCAATCTGGTTTTCTTGCCCGCCATCTTCTTTCGTGCGTATGGTTTGCGGCCGTCTGGCTGTATGTTTTCATGCTATTCCGTCAGGGCGAGCCAGACTGCATCACTCCTGAGTCTCCTGTGCTGGTGTGGCCGGGCCCGACGCCTTTTTTTGGTCCGATCCGATGCCCTGATCGTGGTTTCAATAGCAGCGGCGGCGTGCGCACACCTGCGGGCGCAGTGGCCTTGTGCGGGCGCAGCAGCCGAGGCATCGATCGGCCTCGACGAGGTTTGGGTGTTTCAGGCGAGATGTCAGTGGGGGGATAGGCTCAGGGGGGTGGCATCGACCGCTATCGCCAGCTCATCGCCGAGAGGGGCCCGATAGCCCACCCCGCGCAGGAAGGTTCGGATTC